TTTACCTCAAATCTAAGCACGAATATGAGATTGGATTGTTTGCTATCCGGTCTCAGTCCGGTCCCGGTCCAAGTTATACGGTCCGGTTTCGGGTAAAACCAAACAATCCGGACCAAACAGCCAGCCCTACTACGTACACACACCTAAATTTCACAGTGATCGAGTGAGAGAAAGCAATTCAAAGACCATCGATATATCACCCGCAAACCTAACCCTCCTCCCAAGTCCCGCTATATACCATTTCTGATAATACTCACAAAACCCATCTCATCCGATCCAAGTACCAACATACCAGTTTTTTTTTTGGTCACATTCAAACCGCCTCTCTCACTCTCACCCCTATATTATGTTACTGTGGTTTGGGTGTGGGGAAAAAAGGCAGACTACATATTTACCCTAATGGCGTTCCCTCTGAACTTTTCGTTTCCTTGCCTTTCTCCTAATTATCATCATCCAAGGAAATCACTCAAGGCTGCTGCCGCTGCAGAAACTCGGGTAGTAATGAACATCGCCCAAGTTACTGGAAACGGCAGAGGCGATGGGTGGAGGAGTAGTTTCTTGGGCGGTTCAAAGGTGGCCACTACTTGTCAACCAAACCCGATCTGCCTTCATCACAACACCTCATCCAGCAGACTACTCTACGCTTCATCATGTATTGGTTTTACTTTTAACCCTTCTCTAATTCATCAATGACGCGTAAGATCGTTCGTTCGTTTTACCTAAAACTGTGTTATTTCCGTTACTGATGTAGTCAAAATTGTGCTCTAGAGCTTGAAAGCTTATGCTTAGTGGGTGTGCAGTGGTCCGGTCCTTGGTCCTTAGATGTATTTCACTAATGGACAACGGTTCTCTCATGAGTTTGGTCCGGACCGATCCGAACTGAACCGCGAACCGTTGCACCCCCCCTACTTATGCTATTACATTTCTAGATCACCAAAAAGCGCGTAGAATCACTTTTTTTTCTTCTTACTGCTTGGAATTAACTAGTCGTCAGTGGATCGGATCACTACAAAAAAAAGAGGCTTCAACGAGGGGGGAAAACGGTCGTTAAATGTCAAAAAACGGTCGGGAAAAGTCATTCACGACGGGATAGGACCCCTCATTATAGGCTTGGCCGTTAAAAGTCAATAACGACGGTAAAACACTACCCGGTCGTTAAAAGCTTTAACGAGAGTAGTCTTTTCCGGTCGTTAAATATTAATTTTCCCCACCTAGATTTGTAAGCATTAACAACATGATTACCCTCAATAATATGTTACCTAGTATGTAATTTCCCATTGTTATCGACACTAAAAGCATCCCAACTCCTCTGCTCATTGAGGAAAGATACGATCATAGAAAATACCCATAACAATTACTACTGTTAATATTCACCATTTGAAATCTGATCTCACTAACGAGTATATAATTGTCAAGGAGTACAACATGTTTGTGCTTAGGCTTTAGAAAAATAAAAGGCAAAAGTAATCTAGATTCTGGACTCTTAATATATATATATACAAGCTATATATAGTATAATACAAATGAGATATACTCATTAGCTTTCTTAGTGGCCACAACAATCATATCCTTTCTTCAGCTTCATGAAACACTCTTCTTTGACCCGTTTGGTCTTGACTATGTCGTTCCAAGTCCTTGCTGGAGAAATTAGAATAGAGTGATGTTATTCAATAACTTACAGAAGTTGATAAGAAGAAACCATTCACCCATAATTCACAGTAGCAACACCACCAATAATATACTCTTTGCTAAACGCAAACACCTAGCAAAGCCCAACTTGAACAACCACCATAAACAGACCAAAAAAAAAACAGCAGAGCAACTGCTAGTTGTCCATTTACCACCATAAACAGACCACCAACAAGCAGCGAAGAAACTTGAACCACCACCACAAAGGCACAAACACACCAACATCAAAACATAAAGTAGACAGCACTAACCTGCATCCTCTGATGATGAAAGCCAAAAAAATGCAAAACTGGATGCCATACAGAGCACAACAGCAGCAACAAACAGGAGACAACGTATCCTCTGAGCCACCATATGCCCTTCCCCATTATGTCTAATTATTGATCGATTAGCATTCAAAATAGGACAATGGTCTAATATCACAAACAAATCTCAAATGCCCTTGAACTAAAATCACAATTTCTTAAATGGAGATAATAACACTAAGAAACCAAAGATTACCTTTTGGGATGATATTGTTGAATGATTAATCTCATCTTTCTCACAAGCCAGCCGAGAATCACTTCTACAGGCTGAAAGAAAATATCAAAGAAGAATCAAATGGAAGTAGCAATTTCCCCTGACTCTCAAACTTTCAGATCTGCCACATGCACCCTAGATCTCAATCTCGAAGGCAAAGTTACGCATATAACAAAGAAGAACGCATACCACATGAAGTTAAAAGTTCCTAACAAGTTCAAGCTGTGGAGGATTTTGAACCCTTCATCCTCGGGCGAAGTGGAGTGGCTGGAGCAACAAAAGCTTCCTCCTCGATGCAGCCAACCACGTCCGCAGCCTCCTCGGTCGAAATCGTGTCGTAGCGTTTGGAGAGGACAGAGGGAGTGGGCAAGGTCTCGATTAGGTGAGAAATCACGGCGTCGCGGTTGCGCTGTGGAGGGGCCAAATGCTGAGATTGCTGCTTCTGGGTGGTGTTGAGGCTGGTGGCACCATCATCTTGTATTCCGATTGCTTCGGCGGTGGGGTGGTTATGGATCGTCGGCTGTAGAGCGGTGGCGGTTCCGTCGGAATCGGTCATTCTCCAGAGAGCGGCGTATAATGCTCTAGAGAGAGTGAATGGAAAGGGTGAGCTTTTTCATCAAAGGAAGAAGCATAGAGAAACCACTTCGTAATTCGTATATGAAAAGGCAGACTTTCCTTTTAACTTTACCAAATACCAATTGGGTTTTTTAAAGGGTTCAAAGTTCAAACCCATTCTTTTGTGGGTGTACGAAAAAAAGGCCCGGGAAACGAAAAATAATTTGGCGGACTCACAGGAGGCAAAATTTTCAATACCATTTACGAGGGGATGGTTTTGTCGTTATATATGTGTTATATCAATAACGAGGGTAGATTAACATCTTTGACGAGGGGGAAAATGTGACCCTCAGTAAAAGATGACCCATACAAATTTTATGCCTCTAACGATGGGATTTGATCCTCTCGTCAGTTTTTCCGGTCGTTATAGCCAACTTTTTTGGTAGTGGATCTGAATTCTGATTAGTTGATAATTTTGTGGATGCAGTTTCAGCGAGCGCCAGCACTGTGTTCAGCGTGGGGACAACAGCTGTGCTCCCATTTTACGTGCTCATGCTTCTGGCTCCAAAATCACAACTCGTACGATGTTATGTGACTGTGATGTATACATTTTCCATTACTAGCTATAACATATATTATCATTGATGGGATTGAGAGAAATTAAAGCTAGCTAGGTTTGATCGATCGAATCATTTAATTTGCAGACAAGGAAGTGCATGGGAAGTATGATTCCAGACACGGCGCTGGGGCTTTTGTATGGATATCTAGTCTACTTGTCCTGGACGCCTGATACTTTGCACCTTATGTTTGGAGCCAAATACATGGTGCCCGAGGTCTCTCTCTCTCTCTCTCTCTCTCTCTCTCTCTCTCTCTCTCTCTCTCTCTCTCTCTCTCTCTCTCTCTCTCTTCCTTTCTTTGTCTTCCATTGCAATATATAGCAAAGGAAAGCATGAACACATTGCTACAACTGGATATCCCGCCGGATCCAACCTGGTCAAAGTCCGGGTAAAACTCGGTATTAACAGTGTTTGGGTCGGTATGGATTTTATATCTGATTTTGAAGAGTTAGCGGATTGGTTTTGGTTTGGGTTTTGACTCAAAACCCAACCCTCATAAAACATCTTTTTTTTTATCTAACCGGAACAATAATACTGATTTATGGATATTTTTAGTTTTTTTTTTTACGACAATGTAGACCTGATAATATGGATAAATTTATGATTACTGTTAGTAAGTCTTAGTACGTGTATATTTGTAGGAAATTTTTTAACCTTATTATTTGGGCGAATTGGGAGAAATCATGTTCATTTTATCAATCCTAACCATGCAACTTCGTTCAATTGATACATGGTTTGACTGTACACGACCCAACGATTTGGGTTTGGGTCGTGTTGTTGACTTTACAGCTGGGTGGCATAACAAAGATGTTTTCCAGCGAGATGAGACTAACTTCGGCGTGGATTCATCTTGTGGCCGTCGACCTCTTCGCTGCCAGGTCATCTCATATTTATATAAGCATATTAATCACAATTTCCTGTCATGCTAGTCATTTCAATTGTGTTCCTCTCTTCTCCTCCTTGTTTCTTTCTTGTGGTTCTAATGGCGATGGCCTGAAATTGTGTTTGATTTTCTTATGCAGAAAAGTGTACAGCGACGGGCTGGAGAACGGGGTGGAGACGCGACACTCGGTTGCGCTGTGCCTGCTTGCCTGTCCCATCGGAATTCTCACTCACCTCGTCACCAAGGCACTAATTGCCGCCATGGCCAGAGCCAAAACCACAGAGAAATTACCACCGAACTAATAACAAAAAAACTAAAACTTACCCATTTCGTCTAGCTATATATCTGTAGTTTGGTTATTGATTTCCTTTTCCGCGCGCATAAGTAATAATGAGGACGTGTTTTCTGCATTTTGAACCTGGGTTTCTATGTTCCTGCTGTACTTTCACAGTTTCACTCTCAAAATTCGAAACTAAAGACCTATCCGCGTTCCAAAGATCAGAACAGGGTAGTCGGGAAAAAATTAAAAAACGCCGTTGCCGGGGATCGAACCCGGGTCACCCGCGTGACAGGCGGGAATACTTACCACTATACTACAACGACTAGTTGATATCAGATCAAATATAACCAATATAATATTTTGTAAAAGAGTTAAGTAACTGTTAAAACACACAATTGGTGTTAGAATCAGTGAATGAGATAACAGGCAGAGAAACACCCTAAGCATCAATAAAAGAAAATTGAAAGCTGAACTGATAGAATTTCATGTGTAAATGCAAGTAAAACTAGATCTCCATAAGCCAGCAGAGTTGGTGTTTTACTACATCAGGGCCAATAGTACAACTACTTTCAAGGGTTTTTAACTTTCTTCAAACTCAGATTTACATGAGTTATATACAGGTTTTTAACTCTGTTTCGCAAACTATCAGAATTGAGTTAGCCAAAATATCTGATTCTAAACTAGCTCCTTCCTTCCTTGGTCATTTGCCCCCTGCCGCAGGACGCAGCAAACACATCTTTCATCTCCAGTTCCCTGAAAGGCGGCTTGCTCAGGGTGATTCTGTTGTTCTTCTCTAAGACGGACAACTACTCAGGAAGCTCAGTTGTTCAAGTTGGGAGAGGGGACTTCATGTCGTCCAACATTTCTTCTGACGAATCGAAGTGTTGAGTTCCCTTCTTACTACGTTCCAAAGCTGTTGCCTCGTAGATCCCTTCACCAAACAAGACGGACAGGAAAACATGAACCTTAGTTCAGGCCATCATTTTAGCAATCACACAAACAAGCTCGTTTTTTCATTCGGAGTTTTCATAGTCTCATTGATTTCACATCATCACTGAGATCCTGTGTCGGTGCTACTTTAGTATGTAGTTCAAAGTGTTATTGCATATGTATTTGGTATTATTCAATCCCTAGAAACCAGTAAAGTGAATACATGCAAATCGAAACAGTTGAGATAAAAGGTTCTGGTGTTTTACAAAGCCCGATATCAACTTCCTAAACCCATATTACCTAACAAGATTCAATCTGTAATTTGGAACAATTCTGATAATGATGATCAAACATTGTTCTATTGTCATTCTTTGTTCTGATTTACTACTCTTCTCACTACACAGCAGAGAGATCCACTTACCAAAAAGAAGAAAAGAAATAGATAGAGAATCAGCATACTTACCAAAACCCAGAATTATGCAGCAAAGTAAGAACCCCGGCAGAGAGAAGTCCATCTGATAGAAAATCTCTAGGATGATCATACAACCTCCAGCCACCATTAAGTGCCTTGGAGAAGAGAAAACCATATGCAGCCTGCAAGCGTACACTTAATTCTTTGTCATTCTGAAATAAAGGATCCGGTAGTAGTAGCCACCTTGAGAAACTTTTCCAGTGGAAAAGGCTTTAGACAAAATGAGAATTCAAAAACATAAAAAGGAAGTAATATACTCAGCAAAATAAATCCAAAAGAGTAACATAAACAGTTGTGACGAGCTTGTATGATAAGAGTAGCTAATGTGGATGATGGCTAGAATCTCGATACATGATGATGGATTCAGAGAAGAGAATGAGAGGAAGAAAAAGAGCATAGTTATTATGAAATAATGATCCACTACCTTTCTTCTGCTATGCTGTCTACATAGAATACCAAGATAACTCCGAAAAGAATAAAGCTCCCAAATGCCCAAGCAGAAAATGGAAGTTGACTTGTGCTATCAGAAGTTGATCCCTGAATTGCTCCAGTTAGAAGAACACAACCAATGAGAACTACACAATCAATCCCAACATTTAGAGACCAATATGAAGTAAACTCTCCAAATTCGAAACAAATATTGGTGTTTGTCTAACCATGACACATAGTAATATGCTTTTCAAGATTAAGAATTGCCAAATCTGTGAATCATCACTTACTGTGATGAAGTCCCACATAGCCACGGGAAAAAGAAAACATGTTGCCGAGGTGATGGTTATAGCATGCAGCCTTCTTTTCAGTTGATTCTGAAAATAAATAATTATTGAAGTAAGCAACGACATTCATTTAAGAAAAAAGTCGCTATCTATAGCAGAGCAAACAGCAAGAAAGGAGATGAAGAGACACCTTGAGTGAAACACGTCGTGCAATCACCCTTCTTAAAGCTGATAAGATTCCAGCAATAATTGGAACTATCATGTCTTTCATACCCAAGATTTCTTCTGGATGAGCTTCTGCATCAAGGTTTTCTTTTGATCGTAATTTCAAGTTAAGTCTACAATACACTTCTTCACAAGACACACTTGCAGGAAATCCTTACTAAAAAGGAGTGACCCAATTGATAATAAGAGAAGTACTGTCAAGTATTGTACTGAACCAAATCTAACAACAAATAAAAACCTCGTAGATATCAACAACACTTTGAGCAGAAAAGGATATCAAAAGGTGAATGTGTGCCCATGGCCCACCCTCGAGATAGCAAGTAGAAAGAAAGCATCATTGCAACAAGTCCTCCAACCTAATAGACAGAAAAGGAATTATTACAGTTACAAACAATCATCTACAAAACCATGAATTGATTGGATCCTGTTCATCATTCAGTGACTTCTACAAACAAACATCTGACAAAATCATTGGCTAGGAAAGGAACAAAAGGTGCTCCCTAACAGCTTCAGTGTAATGCATTCAATATAGTTTCACAAAGCAAGAAATTCTCGATGATGTCTAGTACAGATCAAATTGATGGGCACCAAACTTATTTCCTATTCCACTTTGTTAACAGAATGCATTAGACTCATAACTTATTCCGATCCTAGATGACGTTTTGTAACTTATTTTCCATCTTGTGATCAGAGATGGAAAAATAAGATACTACCGACAAATTATCTTAGGCAAGTATTTGGCAGCCACAAAGGATGGTAACAGTCATCATTAGCAAAGCATGAGTCCAAATTTTCCTCCTCTTTTCCAGTCTTTCGCTTTGCTAAAACATGAAAGTCATCCACAAGGGCACTCCAGAATCATTCAATGAAACAGTAATAAAAGCACTGTAAGAAGTAAAGGACAACGACACTGGAAAAATAATGATTTCCTGCATCCGAAATCAGATCTGCAGTTCCAAACCACTATTTTCAATTTCTCTCTATAACTGGATTTACCATAAGTGATCTTGAAAAAATAAAAGGAATTAAGTTAATCATTTTGAACAAGTAGAAAAGCGGAAACCAAATGGCATACTTGAAACAAGTACAATTAGCAAGTAGGTTTTCCCCTTGTTTGCCCAAGAGGAACAAAATGATCTATGAATCCACTCTTTAGCATCTACAAAGCCTTTTATCTTCGATGAGTCACAATTGAGCATTCTCAAACTCCTAACACAAGAAAGCCAAGGTATAGAGAAGTACCTTTTTCCATAAGTGTTTACCCTGTCCATACAATGCTGCTGACAATACACCAAGAACAGCACCTGCATACTCTGCCAAGATGGTTCTGAAACCAAAACGAAATTTAGACTGCAAGAACCACCAGACCAGATATATTGTTGATATAAAAGATAAAATATAACTCAAGGATGTACAGCAGTTGAAAAATTCTAAAGACACATTCAGAATGTTTGAGATGCAAAAGCCTACCGCACTGGCCCACATGACTTGAGGCCCTTTCCCCACATGCTGAAATACAAAGCTGTTATGACACCATTGATGATCGAAGGCACAACCTGAAAAAAGGAACAAAAACCAGATTAGACAACAAACATCTTTCAACTTTCAGGATTGAGTAAAAAGATATAGGTTTCATCCTAACCTGTTGATTAGAGAGAGGCCTTCCCTTCCAAGGTTTTTGCATAGCCAGAAACAACAATGATGATGGAAGAAGACAGCAAAATATGAAAAGACCCACAGATGATCCAGTCTGAATCAAATAGCGGTACATGGAGTAGACCGACCATATTCTCAAAAAGTTGCCAATTACGTGTATTATCTGCAAGGGAGTGTGCCTACAGCAGAGCGAGATGGGGGGAAAAAAAGATGGAACGTTATATTACACAAAGGTAGCACATCTGAATACCTTTTCAAGTTCAAGATTAAAGACCAAACTGTAAGAAGCTTATTAAGAATGAGCTTCTACGAGTTCCTCAAGTGCATCCTTCCCCTATTTATTAAAAATGGAGCACTTAAAGGAACATGTCGCCCTAAGGCTGCTCATCATGAAACTCTCTCTACCACAGAACTCCATCAACTTCATAATTTTTGTTAAACCCAGCCTAAACCAAGAATAACTCTCCAAACCAAATGTGCAAATAAGAACATTCAAGCTATACAATAGGAAATGGAAAAGCTCCTAATATTACAAGGGAAAACCAAATCGAAGCTTAGTCTAGCACATTTCGACACCGGATATCCCATAACCGCTTCCTACATTGCAGATTGTATCCCTTGCAGTTGCACTTCATTGTCTGGTCGCTGGGAGAAAATGGAAGTGAAGGCAGAAAAATGGAAGAAAGGAACTATTCATCCAACCATGCATCTTCCTCGACTAGAAAACAGCATGCATCAACCTAAAGGACTCAATTGAAATCTACCCTCTTTAACATTTAAGCAGAGAAAGAACTACAACTACAAAAAAAAAATTCATTCAATCATTCAGACACTAGTTTCTTTCTTGATTTTCTCGGAAACTAAACTGAAACGTTAGGTTCAGAGCAATGGCGCACCTAAAATTGGCAGAGCCTCGATCGTCGCCGATTGGTTTTGGAGACATCATCTTTTACGCTTCCCCTGCGCCGGAGACGCCAAAAATGACGGTATCGATCTCGCTAAATTTTGTGTTTGCTCAAAAACTGGGTGCTGCAAAGCGAAAATGAAGAACAAGTTCCCTCCCTCCGTTCTCTCCCTCTTCCTCAGCTTCAGGCCCTCAGCTATTGTTCCGAGCTTGGTGAGTATTCAACAGGGGATAGCAATGGCGATTTCTCCTCCGGGAAGAAAATGATGCGGCGGTCAAATCGTGGTCTTTAGCAGCTATTACGTACGGTTGTTTTCTCTTTGGTACATTCAATTCATCAGCGATAGGGCCGTTCAGAAGATTGGGCTAGCAATCGGATCGTTAGAGTTCAAAGAGATTATTTTAGCCCAAAGGCCCAATATCGTTCGACGGGCTCTTCATTATTTTCATCTCCCATCCAATATAGCGCCAAAATATGGTTTGGAGAACATGATTTATACCGTTAATTTACTGAATACATAGATTTTGTAGAAAGTTATGTTTTTTTTGTTGCTTTTTATATAGTAGATTGTAGTTTTAGAGAGTTTAAATCTCTTAAATGTACGAATATCAAATCTCTAATAATTATAGAGATTCTATATTTTGATTCGTGAAATTTTTTTCTTACTTTATCTCCTTCTTTTATTTATTTATCACATTAAATATATTTATCAACAAAGTTCTCAATATTTTTTGAACCACTATCATTTTTATTGAGGATAAACATGTTATTTAATATAAAATTATATTTTCTATTTTCGTTGAATGTTAACAATCACAGTTACCAAACAAGAAATATTTCAAATCTATTTTCAACAATCCGAAGAGTTAGAATCTTTAGATTGTTGACAGTCTATAGATTTATACTCATATTCTCCAAACGACCCCTTTGTGTCTCAGTTAGTGATGATGGCAATTTGAATCCGCCTCACGGGTATTATCTGACCTGACCTGTGGTGGGGCGGAGCATGGGTATCTACTTACAACCCGCCCTGCCACGTCTCGCCCCGTTCTTGACACATTCTATATCAGTTATTTCTTACGGTATCTATTAGGGGTGGGCAACGGGCGGGTTGGGTGGGTTTTGGTCTCAAATTGACCAACCCATTAACTAGCGGGTTTGAATAATTGTGACCCGCAATTCACCCAAATACTTCTGCGGGTTGGGTTGGGTGGGTGGCGGATGGGTGCGGTTGGATCGCGGGTCAACCCGCAAAAGCAATTCTCCAACTAGCCATTAAGAAAGTTGACTAACATTTATAATAAGTTCATAGCAAAATTAGTAAGACTGTATCAATAATTTGTGATTTTGATAAAATTAATAATTTATAGTTTGCATCCCAAAATTTAATATAATCTGCATACCAATATCCAATATCTAATGGATATTGCACAACACAATGACCAATAATAGTAGTCAAAACTATTATTTATTCTCCACCTATTGAAGTATATGGTTAGACTGTAGTGTTGTTCGAAATTATGATGAATATTCGATACTATAAGAAACAACATTTTTTCATGTAAAAATAGGATGCGGGTCATATGGGTGACCCGCAATCCACCCACCACCCAGTCACATAAGTGCGGGTGGGAGATTTACCAATCCGCAATCCAACCACATCAATCATCCACTGCATGCGGGTCGGGTTATTTGCGGGTGGATCGATATCAATCGGCGGATTAACCACTCACGTGCCCACCCCTAGTATCTATACATATTTCCTCATATTTTGACTTTTCTTCAACTAGTTAGAGTCTATCTTTCAACTTGTTACTTGTTAGACTCATTTACCCATTCTATTATCACTATTTTTCATTCATAAAGTGTTTTCTCATTCGTTTTATCATAAAAAGTAAAATTTACGTGTATTTTTTCAAATAACATGTAAGAGTGGTTCGACCCACCCTACCCCGTACCCCGACTAGGGGTGGGCAATGGGTTGGTCCATACCGGACCGAATTGATGCTTGGACCGAATCGCACCGAATCGAATATAATATGGTCCGGTCCTTGGTTCGATGAATTTCATAGATTCTAAAGAAAAATGGACCGAATTGACATTTGGACCGGACCAAAACGGACCAAATGGACCGAATGCACTATTGTTGCAGTCCTTGGTCCTAAAATATCTTTCACTATTGGACCGCGGTTCTCCTGAGTTTGGATCGGACCGACCGATAACCACCCCCGAACCCCGACCCACAATAACATGCAGTGGGACATGGGTATTGAGTTACCCGCACCTCCCATTGCCATCACTAGTCTCAGTGATTAGTTAACATGTTTAGTCGCCAAAGTAGGTCCTAAAAACAACAAGCTACTAAACACAAATTCCCCATCTCCTTCAATTTTGGAAGTTTCCCCTTGGCAGCTCCTGTGATTGTTGTTGACACTGTTGAACCAGCTTTACCCTTGTCAAACCAGCAAATAAATCATCACTTGGCCTACTGGGGATATACCCCCTAAAAATTCATGATGGGAGGAGCTCATTATTGATTTGATTGGCTAGCATGCGAACACAGATATCCTTAGGATGCATGCACCCATGACCCGATCCAACCCAACATAAATAGGCAAAAGAGAAGAAATTTTGAGTCAAAAGAGAAGAAGAGGAATAGCCCAAATAATTGATTAGTTAATCATATTTTGGTTATTTAATTAATTTAATAAACCATAGTTTTTTTTAGATACATTGGTCAACTTTCATTGATGAACATATTGTGGTTATTTAATTGATTTGATAAACCAAAATAAGCCTAACCCATAATGCTCCCATCTTGTTGTGGACATTATATGGCCCATTTCAATCTGTCCTCTCCATCTCATGTCTTTTTTGGTGCAATGTATTTGTGGTCTTTCCTTTCTTTTTTCTCGTGAACCATTTGGATAAGTTATTTTGTATATGTAGTATTTTGAGATTAAGTTATGTATTGTTTCTAATTGTAATAATTTTTTAAAATTATTTGGAATTTACATGAGTTAATTGATTGTGTTATTTCACAACAAAAAGGAAAGAGAAATGGTTAGCAAGATGAGTTGTATTAAAATACTTATATTTAAGGTATTCTTTTTATTTGAACAAACTCATTTTGAGTTATTTCAATTAACTCACAAATCGATTACAACATTTGAGGAAAATAATTCATTCAAATAACTCATCCAGTCATTTACTTAGAGTAAAAAAGGTTGCACATAACAATAATTGATTTTTGAAGATGTATTAAAATGTTATGTAGAGATTAATCCTTCAAAAATAAAAAATAAAAGAATTTCTCATAAACCAACTTGTTCCAATAATTTTAGTTGCTGAGAGAGGTTTATGTATGATACTTAACCACTTCCTCACACGCCCATTCAAATGAAAGCCAACTCATGAGCTTGAAATTTGCACATGCTCGACATACCACGAGCTTTGAAGAGAACATTTAATACTGGGGACCGTGAGAACTTGAACATGTGACCTCAAGTACAAACCAGCTCTAATACCATGTTATAAACCAACAAGTCTCAATAACTCAAATTGTTGGGAGACCTCTAATACCATGTCATAAACCATAATATGTATGGTACTTACTCATTCCCTTACCGAATCATTATGTGAGAGTTTCTATCAATATTAGTGTTGATGTGACTTGAATCGGACTATCAGCCGCTACGACTGGAAGTCACGGGGATCTCGCTGGCCGGTCAGCGAGTGGGGTGCAGGGGCAACTCAGCCCGCGGTGTATGAGCTCAATGTTATTTGAGTTCGTGTTCTGGGTCTGGTTTGTAACTCTTTCATTTACCATATTGGATTAGGGTTAGACCTAGCGGAAGTAATATAAATACTTCTCATACTCCTCTGTAATATGTACCTCCTCGAAGTATAGTGAATTAGTGAAACATGCTCTCTCCTGCCTGTGGGCTAGCTAACACACATTGTGTTAGTGAACCACGTAAATCGTGTGTCGTGTGTGTCCATTTTTCGTTTTCTTGAATTGTCGAATTCTCCAATTTCCCGATCCGCAGAGAAACAATCGTGACAATTAGTATTATCCATCACATGGGCATATAAATGTGTGGTGTTAACAAATGTTTACACCTAAAAAGTTATCTTTTACCACATTGATAAGTTACAAGATAATTAAGAATTTTATAAAGCCACGTCAATTAAAATAATTAATGTTATCTAAGTTAAGCCTCATGGATTTGGCTCTTAAACCCGTCACTAAGTCATAGTGAGCATGGACATGATTCAATGAGGGGCATGAGTCTCTCGCAAGAGGCCATGCCATGCCACAAGATTAATAAAACATGATCCTCAGGTCCTATATAAAAAAATTAAGTTTGGAAGGGCAATGGTCATCTAGAGGTCCATGCAGCCTCACGAGAAGGAACATGTCTGTCTAGAAGTCTTTGTCGTCTCAACAAGAGGGACCATAGACGTGGGAAAGAATTCTCGGCCACCATTCATGACCATGGCCACAAAATAAGTACATGGCTTGGCTGCGAATGAAGAGGTCATGCCAGGAGAAACATATATCAAAGAAAGAGTTTGAGAGGTTCATGTCGTCTCACGAGAAGGGTCATGGACGCGAGACAAGAGGCTTTGGCACGATTTAAAAATATTAATTATGAGAAGATCATATGTCGTCTCACAAGAAGGGCCATGGACAGAAGTAAGAGTTCCAAGACCGTGAATGAAGAGGTCATGCCATGAGATCAAGCCTCATGACCAAGACCGAATGTCATAAAATATACTAAGTTTGGGAAGACCATGGCCGTCTCGCGAGAGGGGCCATGGGCAATGATTTAGAAGCCCATGCCCGTCCGGTGAGAGGGACCATGGGCACAAGTGAGAAGGGTGTGGTGGTGAATCATGATATCACTAGTCATGCGGCAAAGTCACAAGAGGACCATGGACATGAGTAAGAAGTCCATAGTTGAGAGTCAAGGCGACCATGGCCCCATTTTTTGAGACACCACTGGCTAATCAAAAGATTAGCATGACACGAGATTTGGAACAAGACCAGGCGAGACAAGCTACACTTCAAGACCCACGACAGTACCAAGAGACGCACCTAGGCGGTTGAATGAATAACCACCACACCCCGAGAAAGCAGGTATCTCCCCAATGCTATATATAGGATGAGGGGTTGAAAGAGACAATGGTTTCCAAAACCACACAATTGACGCATATGTCAAATTTTGTATTTTCTCTGCAAATGTGAATAGTCGTAATTTGGAACTCTCGCTAAACCTCCATGAGAGTAAGAGCAATTTAATTTAGTTTCATTCCCAAAAGTCATCAATGTACTTGTTTGAAGAAATCATTCAATTTCAACCATTAATTTGATTCCAGAAGTGGGATTTAGTTACAAAGTGATCTGCAACCTCCAACTTGTGCCGGGAGGAGGGGAATCCTTGACAATGTTTTTGTTCACTTTTGGTGTTCACATGTCTGTTGGTGAGCGATTGAAGGTTTTGTTATATCCCACTTGGGGATTTGGCCACTTATGTCGATTCCAACACTTCTGCGCCACAAGGGAGCTCTAGATTCAGTCTTCTTGTTATCCTACATACTGATTACTGAGACCATTGATGAGATTGTGCTCCAGAATTTACCTCCTGTATACTGCTATGGATACATGAACGATTACTCATCCATTAATGAGCTATCTCCTGAGTCAGTGAAACCAACTGTTCTATCCGACATGTTGGCGCATCCAGGGAGCCCAAAAATGTCACACCATAGTCAAGCACAAACAACGACAAAACAACAAATGTAAGACTCAAAAGACAGAAGGATAACCAGGTACCACTGAATTCAGAATGAAATGGACAAATACAACAGAACCCCACAAAAAATCCATAACAAATGGTTGATCTCTTTTTTTTCTTCTGCTGGTTGTAGGGTGGACTCTTTTGATTCTAGTGTTAATGTTACATAAATAGGGACACCTGTGGGATATTTCCTTTTTCTGGTGGGCAAATGCATGAACTGGACAAGAAGGCAAAATGTTCATGTGGGCTTGTTTTCATGTACCCTCACTGGCTGTAGAATTTGCTTCCTGGCTACATTTGTTTTTGGCATAATATGCTGTCACAGTTCAGATTGACCATGCTGTACTAGCAGTTGCATCTCCATAGTTTTCTCTCCCAGCTAAATTTCCCCCCTGCAGTATCAATTTTTTCAGCCAAAATGTCAACTGATCAGTACTTTGCCTTCCCCTTTTGTCTTTCCCTTTCACATGAAAAAATAAAAAGAGGCAAGCTTCCATAAGTAAACCTGAAGAGAAGCCCTTGGTATTGATCTGGATGGCTGTGTTTCCAAGTTGACACTATTTGCTGCTGCAGCAGCAGCTGCTAGTTCCATTGAGAGGAACTGCCAGCAAAAGAAAAGCAAAGGGAAGTTCAAATCAGTACATCATTCAATAACACATTAAACAAGATGTTTGTTTGCTACTTCTAGCTACTACCTCAACTTGATTCTGCAGAGAACATACATAGTTGATGATCTCTTCTAGCATTACTGCCATCCCCATTGACTGCAAATCATCAAATTACTTAAACTGTAAGTCTGAGGTAAATATTCCATATATGAACATATACATTCAGATGAAGCAGGGGGGAAATTATACCTTGTGACATCCAGGAACAAGCTCTTGCAAACATCTCAACTTCTTGTTTATTTTCTCTCTTCTAACCTGAAACAGTATGATTCATGCTCAATACTTCTTGATTGCCTTACTCACATATATACACACAGAACCATCCATTACTGACCCTCTCAGCAGCACTGTGGCTATCAGTAGCTTGGCCTTTCCTCGCTCTAACATGAACAACTTCATCATTATCCGACGCCTTCTTCCTGCTTCTCCGGACAGACGAACACTGACACACATTATACCAAGCACATCATGACTCTGCTAATTAGTATGATCATTGTTGATGAACATATCAAAATGTTTGAAGTAAATAGATTATAAAAAAATGTAACTCACCCTCTTCTCGTCCACGTTAATGGAAGAAGATGGAGTGATACCAGCAGCAGCAGCAGCAGCAGCAACAACAGAAGGTGTCTCAACAGCTGGGGTTGAAGCCAAAGCTTGTGGACCGTAATGATGGTGGAGGGCAAAGAAAGAGTAGTCTGGAAATGATAATGGGAAGTGATGATCATGAGAAGAAACACTACCAGATTTGTTATCCATTGTTACAAGTCCTGGAGGAGCTATTTGAATGCTATTAATGCTGCTCCCCATTCCCACGAAAGACGACGGATGATCATGAGAAGCTTTGTTCTGCCAATGTTGTGTATTGAACTCTGCCATGGAACTTTCTTGGAAGTACTGGGTGGCAGGTGAATAGATGATTTAAGCTTCAAACTTTGTTTTTCCTTTGATGAAAGCTAACACCTGTGGTGTGGTTGATTTGTTGGAGAGATGGTTAGGATGTAGATATAAGGAGAGACAGCAGACTTTATAAGCAGGTAGCATACGGCCTGTGTGCAGGTAGTAGTTTGACAGCAAGTCATAAATACTGCTAACTAAGTTTAGTTATTAATTAAATTTAAATGCATATATGCTGGCCGGCTTGTAGGGTGCATGACGGTCTAGAGATGTCTTTTTGAAGGAAGTTCGATTAGGGATGGCAACAAAACCCGAACTTACGGGTACTCGACCCAATTCAGTCAACGAGGGTAATAAGACAGTACATTTAGGGGCATAAAACGCTCTTTTATTAATAGTTTGACTATTTGTGGACGAGCAATGTATTGTGAGCTATCTTTATTGACAGATGCTATCTATGTTAGGGGGAAATGATGTTAGAAAAATGCTATGTTACTAAAAAAATTGATGTTGGGCCCATAGGATTTTTGATGGGCTGGGTGTTGGATAATAAGCACTCAATTGCTCTATTAGGTAAACTTTAGTTGAGTGTTGTCGTTTTGAGAGTTAGGGGTCGTTTGCTTGTTGGATTTGAAAAATGAAGATTTTGTGCAACAAAAACCTTGGGATTCATGAGGAATTTATTGTATTATGGATTTGAAAAGTCTAGTGTTTGCATGATAGAATTGATAATGGATTTATGATGAATTTGTCACATAAGCAACTAACAACCATCATGGATTTACAAATCCCAAACAAATATGTGGGATTTACAAGTCTGTGGGGTCCACGGATTTGGTCCCAAATTAAAGACCAAATCCGTGGACCCCACGGATTTGACACCCATCAACAAACAATGGACTTGTGTTAAATCCATCAAACTTGGGATTTAGATACCAAATCCATGATCCAAATCCAACAAGCAAACGACCCCTTAACCTTCAGCCTAGTTATTCTGCTAACTTGAAGATTTGTTAGTATATACTAATTAATATCCAAAATGTATGAACTAATATTCAAGTCTAGTGAGTATCTAGATAGCACAGACTAGTATTCAAAACATCACAAACTAGTATCCAGATAGCAGATACCAACTAATATCCACAATCAACCAACTAGTATTCAATATGGATACTCTTATGAGTTATCTGAATACTAATTATGTGTTGTATAGATACTATTATGTGTTGTCTATATATTAGTTTGTGAATTTGGGACAATAGTTGATTCATGGTAAATATCAGTTAACAAACTTTGAATACTAGTCTCTGCTCAGAGCAATGGGATGGCAATGGGGCGGGTTTGGGGCGGGTTTGCCTAAACCATCCCCATCCCCATCTTCAAATACCCAAACTCATACCCGCCCCATACCCATGCGGGGAATGTTTTGCAAACCCATCCCCGTACATCCAACATGATTATACCTAAAACTTACAAGAAAAGTTTTAATTATAACCATAAACAAACCTATTATACATGAAGTCAACAAAACACGGTCATTTTCTAAATACGATTCAAAGAATATGATCCTAAAACATCCATTAATACATAATATAGACTACAATATTTTTTAAATTATTATGCTCTAACTCTTGATACATCTACTAAGTAATAATTAACTAACATAATCTTGTTGACAAGAGGAAAAGTGAAAGAGTGGAAGGAGAATTGAGGGGAATGAATTAGGTTTTGATTAAGGTGGTTACTCAATTGCATTTCTACTATTTATTTTCTCGAGTTATCATCATCATCATTGATAGATTACAATTTAATCCACATATTTTTTTATATGTGAAGAAATTCTCTTGGTGGGGCGGGTATGGGTATCGGTATGGGGCGGGGAGGCTAAAACCATACCCGCCCCATACCCATCAAACTTTTTGCGGGTTTTACCCATACCCGCCCCATACCCGGTCAAAGCGGGGATTCCCCGCGTTGACTGGGTCGGGAGCGGTCGGATACCCGCGGCCATGGATTTGATTACCATACCTACAGTGCTCTCTAAATACTTTTGTACTTGAATACTAGCTCACGTATTTTTTTGAATATAAGTTAGTATACTAACTGTTTGAACCTAACTGAGTGTAGGAGTGAGGTTCGAAGGAGAGTTCGGGTCGAGAAGAAACGCGAGAGCCGAGCTAGATCAGTGGAACCAGAATCAGAGAGTTGAGTGAGAAAGAGATTAGAAAGAGAAGTAGTTCTTGTAGAGAGAGAATGGTGAAAAAATGCGATCCCCTCACCCACCGTAGTAAATGCCATATTTATAGGCTTCATGGTGGTGGGTGAGTGGTTGACATAGGGAGAGATACAGTGATGTGACTACTGGGATACAATGATGTGACCACTAGCACACTAAGGCTTTTAGGCCATCCCTCTACCTAGGATGAGTCAGAGATCCACTCATGGCCCTGATGTGACTACCCGCTTGGAAGAGGTGCGCTTCCCTCATCTTCTGGTTCAGCCTACGCTAGTCCTCCCCTAGCGCCTGTCATCTCTTCGCGCCTGGACGTGGTTAGCCATGATGAGGCGGCACACTCGGGGTCCTCGCGCTGCCGTGTTGGGGTCTCATCCAGTTGCGCCCGGTTCCTTGGCGTGGTTAGGCCCGAGTCCTATGCCCAACAATTGCCCCCCAGCAGGGGGTGTTTTGTGAACGCCCCCTGTTTAGGTTTCCTCCGGACTCGGGCCGGTCCGCTTGTAGCTATTGGTTGGCGCCGACGTGCGCGATACCATGAACTGGCGTCGCCTTGCCCTGACGCCATGTGCCATCGCGCTCGTTGTTGGGCTTCATTCGGTCGCCACGCGCAATGCTTGGCGCGCGCCGTTGTGCGTACGGGGTCGTTTTCTTCGTGTGCGGTACGCGCTAATGCGCTCGTTGTTGGTCTTTGTTCGCTGAGCGCGATACTCGCGCGCGATGCGCTCGTGGAGTTGTTTTCTTTTCGCAGCACGACGCATGTTTTCCTCTTCCAGGCGTTATCCTCGCGATAAGCGCTCGCGGCTGATCTTTGTTCGTTGAGCGTGATACTCGCGCGCGATGCCCGTCGATGCGCGCATGGGGTTGTCTTCTTGTTGCGACGCAATGCGTATCTTTCTTTTCCTCGCGGGTGTGCCATGCCCCCCAGTCGGTGCGCGGCGCTGGTGGCGTCGCCGACTAATGCCTATGATCGTAGGTGTCAACGTGTCACTGTGTGGTTAGGCTATTTGGGCGGGGGTTTTTTGAATTTCGAAAAGATTTGGTGGGATCTGACTGTTACGGATCCCAATGTGGCTTTAACCTTTCGCATTCCGCCGAACGGCCTTGGCCCTTCGCTTTCCCCCGGATCAATTATAAATATGAGATTGTTGAAGGGAGGAGGGCTCACTTGTTTTCTCCGATCATAGCCTCGCTTTTGTTTTCCTAAGATTTCCCTCCTCCTTCACTTCTCTTTCCTCGAGATTTTCTCTCCTCCTTTTACTACCCCAATCCTCTTCTGCTGTTGATCAACTTCGAGTCGATATCATGTCCAACATCAACAACCAGGAGGCCGAGGTCGTACAAGGCGAAGAAGGTAATGTCTCTCCTCTCTCGCATACTTCTTCTGACCATTCCGGTGGTGGGAATGGAGGTTCTGGGGATTGGAACGGTGGATCCGACGGTGGGGGTGGCAGTAGTGGTGGTGGACTTCCGGCGACGCCGACGTTCGATGCTAGGTCGGGCGATGGGGCCGGAAGCTCTTCTGATCAGGGTATAACCGCTTCCGGTAGTGGGGAGGTGGCGCGGCCGGCTCGGGGGACTCTGATTATTCGGCGTAACCAGGGTGGTGGGCCGGTTGCCGGCGACGAAGCGGCCGACGAGGAAATCGCCGACGAGGAAGTCGCCGATGGTGAGGTCGGCGACGATGAAGTCGCCGACGATGAAGACTTCGGCGATGAGACAGAGCAAGGAGACTTTGATGTGCAATTCGCGCCGCGAGCAGTCGAGCGCGTTACCGAAGCCATGGCCCGCTTGGGGCCGCAGGGTGTTGGCTCTACATACCGCGTGATCGAATGGGCGGAGATGTGGGGTGACCAGCCGGCGCCGTCTGACAATCTCAAGCGCGGACCCGAGCACTCCTCGACGTATGACGTGGATGACGTGGAGGAGTTGGTTCGCGGACTGGGTTTGCCCCCCAGTTGGGAGTACGCCGCTCCCTCGGTGCGCATTATGGTGGGTAACTGCCCCCCTGGGTGGTTCGGTGTGTATGCCGAATACTGGGTTATGGGGTTCAAGTTCCCCATCGACCCGCTGTTATGCGCCATATACGACCGCCTCAAATGCTCCATCGGTCGGCTCTCCCCGTCAGTGATCATGCACGCGAGTTGCCTTCGTCTCGCGTGCAAGAGGCTTAACATCGTGCCTACTTACGGCTTATTCCGCAAGATGTACAAAATCAAGGAGCCGACAAAGGTGAGCGACTGTCTCTCCATCCAGCGACGCGACCACCGCCCCGATGGCTTCGTGTACGGCTCGCCCAAGTTGAAGAAGACTTGGTTTGGTCAGTTTTTCTATGTTAAGCCCGCTCCCGGGGAATGGGCGAGTGGGTCGCTGCCGGAGCCCACCACCTGGATGAAGGGCAGTATAGCCGGTTTCGAGTCCGACGTCGGTAAATACGACGGGCTCAACGATGAGTATGAGGCTTGCATGCCCCACCGCATGAATTTATACAAGCGGGGAGTCCGCGAAGCCTGTTTGGAAGAGCTCTTTGGAGATGGTTAGTTATGTTTCCTTCCTTTTTGTATTCTATCTTATTAACCGCTCTCTTACGATTTATTGGCGCAGGTGTTGACTTCTCTTCCCTCGCGAGTATGATGTCGGTGGATGACGTCGCGCCGCGTGCCGACAAGAAAAGGAAGAAGAAGGTCGGCGCGGCGCCAAAACCCTCGAAGCGGAAGGAGGTCGAGCAACCGCAACCGCAGGTTGTAGAGAG